CCTCCCTCCTTCCAGAAAGCGGCGGAGGCGGGGGGGGGGTCGCGCGGTTGCCGTGGCGACACGCCGTGTTTGTGCTCCGAGTAGTAGCAGATCGCTGCCATGGCGAGCGCACAGCCTTGCAGGTCGAGGCCGGTCCCGTGCGCCTTTCAGTCGCCGCCCGAGCAGCCGCTGCGGGTGAAGGTGGTGGGGCTCTTCAAAAGCAATACATTTCAGATCGCGAAGAGCACAGCTGAGGTAACCCCGAAGAAACCAGTGCGGGCAGCCCTTTCTGCTTCTCGGCCTCGCGCCTCCTGGTGGTGCGGAGTCTGGTTGGATCCGAGCTTGTAGGGGAAAAGGGCGGGCGGGTCCGAGAGAGCGGGCATTCCACTTCGAGAAGGGCTACTAAAAGGGGGGATCCGAGCGAAGGAAGCGTTCAGAACCTTGCCGAGAATAAAGGTAATTCCACCTCTCTACATATCCACACATTTTATTTCATATTTATTTTTAACTGAAATTATAGATTTTAAAAATTCACGAAAAAAATGTTTAGGAAAAAATGCTACCGTATAAACTAGTTGACTTTTTACAAACTCCCACTCCAAATGATTTTTAAAAACTATTCAAAACTATTCATTCGGGAGGGTGTTTTTTCTTTTAAATTTTCTACAGCAGTCACTGCGTTCCAAACGTATTAAGTGCTTAAGAGGATTTCTTAATAAATGACCATCAAGTGCTTTGGAGAATATAGACATTTCTTTGTAAACTCGCAGAAAGATTAAAAAAAAAAAAAGGAAAAACGCTTTAATTGGAAGAATGTGCTCAGGTCAGTAACGTTGCAGCACACCTATAACCCACATGCAGGGGAAATGTAGAAATGTGTGAAATGTTGAAGTATAGAATTTAGCACGTCTTTGGGGTTTGCTCTAGAAATGCTGCTCTAAGGTTATGCAAATTTCTCTTCTTCACAACCCCACTAGACTCCAGGAAAATACCCTATTCATGTTTATATCTCTCAAAGTACCCAGCTGGATACCTGACACACAATGTTCCCAAATAGAAGAAATCTTCAATTCCTACCTTGTCTGCTCCAAGTCCACAGAGTTAAAAGTGCATGATTAAATCAAATCACGAAATAGTAACTAATTTGTGAACTAGGTAAAGTTTATCAAGATGAAGAGAATAAGTGATCAGAAGTTGATATGTGGATAATCAAAAGAAATAGAAATTGAGGGCTGTGTTAGCTGGCTGATGGGATCAGCATAGTTTTATGGCCTAAGTTGCATTTAATGTGTTTGAGGGATTTTTTCACCTTGTTTTTCTTAGCTCCTTTTCTGAAGGCACATGTTTTATGTGCCTGCTCCACATCATAGAGATGTTGGCAGTTTTTTTCTGTAAAGTTCAGTTATTAAATTATTAGGCCTTTGGAGCCATAGGCTCTCAGTTACCACTACTTAACTCTGTACTTGTGGTGCAAAAGCGGCCACAGACAATATGTAAATGAGTAGTGGTTTTCCAATAAAATTGTATTATGGACACTGAAATTTGACTTACATGTAATTTCACGTGACATTAAATATGATTCTTTTGATCTTCTTCGACTATTTAAGAATCTAAAATTATTCTTAGCTCTCAAGTCTTACAAAATCAGGCAGCGGGCCAGATTGGCCCACTGGCCACAGTTTGCCAACTCCTGTTGTAGAGGACACTAAGTCAAGAAAACAATGCCTTAATTATATTATTAGTGATAATTTTCCCTTAATCTTTTGCTTACTGTAGCTCTATTTGAATATGAAAGCAATATAAATTTAGTTAGCTCTATCTTAATAAATCCTTGAAAATATTTCCAACATGATTATTTGTGAGCAATCTCAGATACATAATTAACTGACGAAGATTTCGTTTTGTAAAGAGTATTACATATATTCAAATTTAGTTGTAGTCCATTCTAAACAAACACTAAATTTATGAAGAAAGTATGATTAAGTAGGCTTTATTAGTTGGATTTATTAGTTTTTCGAGGTGGTCCTTCAGTTAGAAATAGTTATCCACTAAATTTATGAAGAAAGTATGATTAAGTAGGCTTAATTTGAAAACTGTTGGGTTTATTAGTTTTTCCAGGTGGTCCTTCAGTTAGAAACCGTTATCCAGCACAACTGCCTCAGACTGAACACAGACACTAGAATTGAGAAAAAAAGGATATGTCATGTGTTCATTGGGGACAGTAGCCTAAGACAAAGATGGCTAGATTGCTGTTGTCCTCTTCTGTGGTCCCAGGGGACAAGATACAATCTAGATGGCTAGATTGCTGTTGTCCTATCCCTGGTCCCAGGGGACAAGATACATTCACATTCTGGTTTTCTCCCCCTTGGAATACCTACCACTGGTGAAGCATGCCAGGCCATTGTCCTCTTAGATCACCGCAGGGGTGCCAGCTGTCACTTTTCCCTGTTGGCCCATCTATTCCTCTGACCCACTCAGAAAAGTGATACACCTAATTGTTGCCTCAGCTACCTTTTCTTGCTTTAGGAGGAGGCAAAGTGTAACATTAGGAACCAAAACTTTCTTTTTCTTTTTTGACAGGGATTGTGAACCAGTAAGAATTTTCCCTGATTCATATAGACAAAACAATATGGTAAACCAAAACATGCTCAATATCTAAACCTAACCATATTTAGAATTTACTTCTCTTTTTCTCAAGGTATAATCACAACAATAGCCTTTCGGTCATTCTCCATATATCAGCGATTTAAAGCAATAACATTTATTTATTTTAATTAAAAGTACCCATTAATCTACTAAGGTTTAGTAAGAGTTTAATTAAGGGAAAAAATGATACTAAAAGAACATGGCAGATCACAAACTATTGGCATAAACTCATGAATTTATTCATTTGTTTATTCAGTTGCTATGTGTGAATGGTCTATGTGTCAGATATTGAAGCCAGTGGGAATATAGGAAAACTAAGACATAGTCTGTGTCTTCAAGGAGCTTATTCTCTCTACAGGTGGGATACAAGCCAGAGCCCCAGTTTAGACTAAGGAGTGACTTAATGGAGATGAACACAGGGGCCTCTAGGAGTAGGCATCTAAGCCAAACTATGTGGCCTACGTGTTTGTTGTATAAAACTTCCTGGAGACCCCATAAAAATTGAGGGAAATGATTTCTACTTTTAAAAAAAGAACTTATTCTAAAATAATTATTCTGTTTTAAAACCTAGTGTCTGAAGAATAATTTTCCATCCAAATTTGAAGATCCTATAATAGTTCCTCTTCAAGAATTTGCATGGTATCAGTATCTACAGGAGAAAAAACGGGTAAAGGATATTTGGGGTGTGGGAAATGAGCAAAGTTTTGTCTGAATTATTTATCTATGCACTGTTTTGGAAAAACTGAAGTAGTAATTTTAGTGCAACTAGACTTTATTTCTCTAACTTATGTACTTTTCCCAAATCATTTCAATCATTTTACCAGGCTGGTTTTAAGAGAAAGTATAACATTTACAGGATTTTCTTTTGGAAGGCATATGATAAAGGTAAGTTTTACCTCTCAATGCTGCTATTTACCCCTGCTGATGGTTGCCCTCTTTTCCCTGCACATCACGTACTCATACTTCCTTTGACACCCCGGCACTTAGGTTACTATGGCCTGGCGCTCTTCTTGGCTCTAACTCTGAAACACTTTGGTGGTGTAAACAGATATAGTCGGGGGCTTGTGTTGGGTTGTTTACTGGGGGGATGTGACGATAGGCACCAAGTTCCCACAGGGTAGCCTTGTCCTAATTGAAGCATCTTTCTCTTCATCTCCCACCTAACCGAACCCTTGGAGAACCCTAGGCCCCAGGGCTAGCAGAGCTTGTCCAGGGATGGCAGATAGGTTTTCTCTTGGGTGTCAACCCTGATCAGTTGGTAGCACTGTCTGGAGCATGTGATATGAAGGATTTTAAGGTGACATCCTGGCTCAGCAATATCTCATGTTGGGAGGGAGGCTGCAATGGGGTATGCCTCCTGCTTGTCACCCCTGGCCCAGTTCTATAGAAAGTCTCAGCCCTGGTTTCCCTGCCCCACCTTATCTCCCCAGTGAAATCCCATTTCCCCTGAGCAGAGCATTTTTGGTGGTTCTGTCCCAGGTTGCACAAGGAGGTCCTGTGATCCTGTGATTATCAGGTGGATAGTGTTGTTTTACCTGAGACCATGTCATTCTTCAATCACATGACTGGTGCAAGACTAAGTCAAGAATGCTATTTGTTAAGTCTCGTACCATTTTCATAGCCATAATACATTTTCATTGGAATTCAAATAGAATTCAAATAGCAAACACTTACATATAGTGCTTATGATATGCCAGATACTGTCCTAATAGCTTCCTTTATATATTAACTGTAATCCTTACAACTGGGGTGACCAGTGGTCCTGGTTTGCCTGGGACTGAGGGGTTTCATGGGATGTAGAAATTTTAAGACTAAAGCTGGTACAGGCCTGGGCAAACCAGGACAGTTGGTCACCCTAACATAAAACAATGTTTTCTTAATTTTTATCACCAAAGCTACTGTATCGTCCAAGAGCATCGTGCTCTCCACTTCCAGGAGAACCTTGATCTTTTGCTTTGGTTTGCGCCCACTCCTCTTAACGTATTCTGACTGTACTCTCTTTTGTGTGTATGTATGTGTGTGTGTTTTTCCTTTTTTTAATTTTATGTTATTAGTTTCAAGTATACAGTACATTGGTTAGACATTTATATAGTTTATAAAACGATCCTCCTAATTGCTCTTTCTCTCCTCTGGCTCTCCACCTAGCCATTACATTAATGCTAACTGCATTCCCTATGCCGTGCTCCACATCCTCGAGACCATTTATCAACTACTAATTTGTATTTCTTAAACCCTTCAGCCCATTCTCCTAGTCCCTCAGCCCTGCTCCCCTCTGGCCATCACCAGATTGTCCTCTGTATTTGAGTCTATTTTTGTCGGCAAGCTGAAGGCAGACTGTTTTCAAAAGGAGCATTTCTCTTAAGTGCTGTCTCCAGACCATCAGCATCAGCATCTCCCAAGATGATGTTAGAAATGCAAATTCTCGGGCTCCACCCCAGAATCAGAAACTCGGGTGCGGCTCAGGAATCTGTAATTCTGATTGCCTCCTGAAATTGGAGAACAGCTGTCCCAAACTATTTGTGGTTTTGCTGGGACTGGCACTGGGTAATAATAAACCAGATCTCTTTGGAGGGGACATTACTCAGTGGCCACACACTGGGATTTAGGAAGTTGACTTGTCAGTGTTGTATGGATGAAAACACTAATGCATTTCATTTTGAAAGGCTTAAGACTTGAAAGTGTTGATACAGGTGAGTTCTTTTCCTCACTGCCCCTGGCATGCCTGAAAATCCTTGCTGGCCTTCAGGAAATCCCTGACTCCCTCTGTCAAAAAAGCATTCATTCTGTCCTTGGCCATTGAAAACCATGTTTTGCTTGGAACCCCTGACCTTTCCACATGTATGCATAGTAAAATGTGCTTCAGAAATGATGTCAGAGACTGCCTTTTGTTTTCAAGTTACTATAACACACATAATACACACATAGATTTTTATTACAAATCGCCATCTATTTTCTATGATTGTACCATTATTAAGATTACTTCTAGGTCATTTTTTGCTTTCAGTGATGTCGGATTCTTGAAAATATCAGATTTTTTTGAGAGCAAATTCTGAAAGATGGCAAAAATTATGTTTTTTAAAGATTCGTTCCTAGACTTAAATCCAAGCTCTGGCTTGTGGGTTGAGCAAGTATTTTTTTTCCTTCATTATATTTCTATGATTGTACCATTATTAAGATTACTTCTAGGTCATTTTTTGCTTTCAGTGATGTCAGATTCTTGAAAATATCAGATTTTTTTGAGAGCAAATTCTGAAAGATGGCAAAAATTACGTTTTTTAAAGATTCGTTCCTAGACTTAAATCCAAGCTCTGGCTTGTGGGTTGAGCAAGTATTTTTTTTCCTTCATTATATTTTTTTTATTGGGTTTTTTTTTTTTTTGTCCTTTACAGGAACTTAAGAATGAAGTTTGGGAATATTCGTCCTACGTCATATGTTTTATTAACGATCAGTTCCTGGGAGATGCACTTGATCTTCAGAAATGGGCCCACAAGGTGTGGGATATAGTTGATTTTAAACCTGCCGCACTTTATGATGCACTTGCTGTGGATTATTCTATTAAATTCTTACAAGATACCAAGGCAAGTTACACTAATTTTTGAAGAAAAAGAGTAGCTTCTTTGATCATTTATATTTATTCATCATTAATTATTGATATCCTAATGTAGGGAATATAAAAGAGTAGGAGACCAGGTTTTAAGTTCTCAATGACTTTATGATCCAGTTGCACAGGATTATAATATGGCAGAGTTTGGCTTGGTGGTAAGTAAAGCAAGCTTATCTCACAGCAGGCAGGCTGCACAGAGAGAACATCTCCAGACATCCTCTTAGAAGTTGACATGCATTGTTATCCATTTTAAAATATAAAGAGACCGCCCCCCTCCCACCCCCAGAGAAGATTGAGCCTGTCACTCATTACCTTTATGGACTATTTTAGTTAATACTTTCTAACACCTCAGTGTGAGCTACTGCACTAAAAGAATGAAAAGTTTGAGAGGTGACATTTTAAAATATGATACATAGTTGGTGAGAGCAGGACTAGATAAACTATGGCATTGGGAAGAGAACAGTCATGAAATTTGAGGTTTAGAGAGTGAGACAGACATCAGGATGGGATGGCAATAGAGGTAAAAGTACTTTGCAGTTTTCCTCAGAAACCTTGTAGCAACAACTACCACATATGAAAATCACTTCATGCTCATGATACTTGGGCCACAGAAAGATCCGGTGTCCTGAGCTGTGCAAAGGCAAAGACCTGTCTTGTTCATCCTTGTTTAACCACTGCCTGGAACAGAATCTGAAACATAGGTGCTCAGTGAATGTTTGGTTGAATAAACTGCACTTGAAAAATGCTTGAAACCCTGGGGCGTGGGGAGGAATTTAATGTTCATAGCAGTTAATTCCCAAAGGGATGGAAGTACATGGTGTACTCTGGGAATAGCAGGGGACAGCAAGGAGGCCAGAATTAGTGGGAAAATGAGAATATTGGTCAGGATTTTTGGTACCATCAATACCAAGCTACTCTGATTAACTTAAGGAAAAAAGATATGTATTGAAAGGATATTAGTAACCTCACAGTTGACAGGAAAGCTGGAGAAACCCGCTTTGGAAAACAGGTAGGAACCAAGGGAGGCCTGGCAATTGGAAAACATGGCCAGAGTCATGCCCCAGGAATGTGCAGCCAGGATCTGCTATAGGTGCTTGCTGGCCTGGGTTTGAATTGACACCTTGACTAAGAATTACTTCTCAACTCTCCTTGTGTCTTTGACACTCCCTGCAGAGCCAAGGCCCCAGGCAAGAGCACCTAACTAGTGGAGCCAAGGTCATATCCCTACACCCCAGCTCTCACAGCTTAGGGAAAGGGAGAATCTGGCCCCTTTAGATTCTGAAGAAGATGGTGGGGCCCTGTGGGGAGTTCCCGAAATAAGAAAGGTGTTCAGCTGTTAAGTAGCAAAAAAACCCAAACAGATACACTCAAGAAAGGTCGAACTCACCATCCATTCTGAACAAAGGAGTTATATCTTATCTAGCAGGAAGCCAAGCCAACAGAACTTTTCATAAAGAGTATGACGTAATGCTCTTTGCTTTTTTGGAAAAACTTTTAGAGCTGTGCGGAAACAGGCTGGAGTGGGGAAAGCCTGGCGGCAGGGCAGTCATTTGGAAACCTGTTATGGTCACGTGGGTTAGAGATAAAGACAGCTTGAATTCATTAGTGTCAGTGAGGAGAGAGGACCTAGATTCTAGAGGAAATCCTTGTTTTTTTTGCCCAGATGGTAGATTTTTCTTGTTGAGTAAAACTCGACTCATTTACTTCTTGGTTTGATTGATATGCTAGATAATTATGTTTGTGTGTTTGGCTGCTAGGTGACATTATCTTGTGTTGCATTCATTTGCTCTTTTTTCATTAGAATTTTCAGAGTTATTTACTCTTGACAACCTCATAAAGATAAGATATTATTGCACAGTATATTCTCATTTTCCTTCTAAGCCTGTGAAGTTTCCTATATTATGCCTCTTATTATAAAGTTATAATACTCTTATATAATGAAAAACATGTAGCATAGAAGCTGAGAGGCACAAATTAGTTAGAATTAGTATAGATGTAATACTTCACTCCCGGATGCCAGATAACACAATATTATTTAAGTCTTTTAATTTTTTTTAAAAAAGGTTAGAATGACATAAAATTAATGATAGTGGTACACTTAAAAGTGATTTCATTTATGTTTCCTCGATTTTTAAGAAATAGAGCAGGGCAAATTATGTACCTTGTTAAATCAGGCAGCATTTTTATGTATTCCTTAGATGTGCTTTGCTCCCCAAATGAATGCCACTGTGATGGTGACTAGCGTTTTCATTTTGGATGTCTCTTTATGGGGGTAGACCTGTCTAACAAATGTTAGTTGTCCCTGCCAGAAAGGATGTCAGTTAAAACCAGAGCTGGGGGCCTCTGGGAACATGAGAATATGATTGAAATAACTCAAAAGTTCATCATCTCTTCTCCCTGGAACCACACTTCCTATAGATTTAGTGGCCTTATTTTCCCACTCAGAAAGACTGGCCTTGGTTAGCTAATCTGAGCTGACTGAAAATCCAGAATACACAGTAACCAGATCCATGGCGCTCATGTTGGCTCTTTTTCCAAAATAACTCAGGAAAGAAAAGAATTCCCAGTCTGCTTCTTTTCCCAAGGGACTCACTAGTGTTCCTTTCCACACCTAGTTTACAATGTAGTGGATATCTAGGCCATGTGTTCTCAGTCCTGGTGACAGGTTAGTGTTACTCAGACCTTTGCTACTGTAGGGTTTTAAAAAGTGTGTTATTTTAGTTGTAAAGACAATATAATAAAATGAGACAAACTTCTTTAAGTCATTCTTTTAATTTTGCTGTTAACGTTCTCTACTGTTAATGATGTTAACATCAATGAAAACATTCTGTTTTTTCTTCTAAGACATTGACCTGTATTATCTTTTTCTCCTGAATTTTAATAGCATGATTTTGTGTTCTTGGATATTTCTATTGGTTTTTATCCAATTGGAAAATTGATTTTTGAGGTAAGAGGCTTTTTGTTGTTTTAATTAGTTGGGGGGAGTGGGGCTCTAACTGTAGAATGTCAAATACTTAATCCTTGACATCTTTAATCTTTATTTTTCAGCTATACTGTGATGTATGTCCCAAAACGTGTAAAAATTTTCAGGTCTTGTGCACAGGAAAAGCGGGGTTTTCTCAAAGTGGTGTCAGGCTACATTATGCAGGTTCGATTTTTCATCGGTTAGTACAGAATGGTTGGCTACAAGGAGGAGGTGAGTTTAAAATCTTAAATACAACTTGATTGCAAAATCAAATCAGAACATCCAAATTTTATTTATCTACCTTTGTAAAATACATATAAAATTAAATATAGTTAATATTAGATGTTATATATATTTAAGGGATGTTTTATATGGCCAAATGATGAATTAAGATATTCATATTCTTTTTAAAAATCCCCTAATTATTAAAATAAACAAGTCTAACTTATGTTAGCAGGAATATTTTAAAATAAAAAGTCGTAAGAAAGTAGAATAACTTTTTTTTTAATCAAAATGTAGTTTTAAATGCTCATCTAAATAAATAAGAGTGCCTAGATAATACAGTGCTTTTAAAAAGAAGCATACTAAAGGTAAGAATTTGAAAATAGAATAAATAGAAAACAGCTTTTTTCTTACCAAAGATGTTACATTGTTACAATTGAAAAGTAAGAGCCAGAGCATTTTGGTCTTTATTTTGTTTTCTTTTCAAGCCAATTATTTTGCTTTATACAGACTAGCTGTCTGATTAACAGCACAAAATTAAATTTGGAAGGCCTTTTGGGAAATATTCCATAGGGAGAAATCAGGAAGCAATTTAAAAATAATTAGTGCAGAAGAAAATTTGCTTGAACTTGATGAAATATACAGGGGCTTAAATTAATAATGTTTAATTATTTTTCTACAACCTGGAACATTCTGAGGCTGATAAGAAAAGTGTAGATTTAACCCAAGCACGTAGTCTGTAAATCAGCTATTTTTCCATTAGTTTTTTCAATGCGAGAAAAACCACCAATACTGTTATCTAACATTATTTTTCCACTTAATATATATGCTGTTAGGGTCTGCTTAATTTTTCATCACATTGCTATACCAATTTAATATCCTATTGGTAAACATTTAGATTGCTTTCAATTTTTCGTTAGTATAAAACAGTCCTCAAGGGGGCTAGTGTCAGGATCTCCTGGTACTCAGTTCAGTGTTGACTATTATGTGCTGGGCTCCCAGATGCTATGTTCTTTGTTTTGGTTTTGGTTAGACATCCCCACTCCCACTCCCCAAAACAAGATTTGAGGAAAGTAAGTCATGTTATTTGTTTATTTATTTGAAGTAAAATTTCCAGATAGTAAAGTACATAGATCTTTGGGGCAGCAATGTTGAGGACAGTTTGGAAAAAATTCTGATTACTAGATTTACATCCAAATTTATACATACAAGCTGTACCATGTTGGATAAGGCACTTAGCATCTCTGAATCGGTTTCTTAATTATAAAATGGGGATAATTATAATATCACAGGATGCGGTAAGGATTCAGTGACGTGGTATACTGAAAGTGCCAAGCTCAGTGAACATTCTTTTCCCTCCAGATGTCAGATTCCCACAGGCTGTGTGTAGAATTTTGGAGCTAAATGTGGTTTCATGCTGTGCCTTGGGCTGCTTCCAGGCATTATTGCTTGCCCTTTGAAACTAATAGGCCCTACAGTCTTTACTCCCTCGCAGCCCCATTGCATCTTCTGACATGTCCCTCACTCTGCTCCACACATTGGCCTTGCTTTTTCTTAAGCACATCAAGCATATATGTGCCTTGAGGGTTTTTGTTGTTTCTTTTGCCTGGGACACACTCTACCCAGCTAGTCCTCCAGCTGTTCCCTCCCTTCGCCCCTGATCTGTTTTTGATTTTTGCCCAGAGTTCATCTCATCAAGGACTTACTTGATCACCCTATTTAAAATTTCCACCTTCCTGCCCACATACCTCTCCTTACCCCCTTTCCTGCTACTTTTCTATCTCCTTACTTTGCTTTATTACTTCTTTATTTTCTTCACCACTGGGCATACTATTATATATTTGTTAGGTAATTCGTTTATGGTCTGTTTCTCTTCACTAGAAAATAAGTTTCTGAGGGCAGAGTTTTTTATCTATTTTATTCTCTATTGTATCCCCAGGTTTGAGAATAGTGCCTGGCATGTTGTAGGTACTTAAAAAATATTTGTTGAATGAACAAACGAATAAATGAATGGATAGTTAAATGGAAAACATACATTCTATTCATTTCTAAAGTGCTAAGTTAAAGAAGATGTCAAGTCATTAAGCCATTTTGATAGGACTCTCTCTCTGTGGCTATCGCAAGGCCTATCATCTTCAGAAAGATCTCTTGAGATACAGTTTAATACATTTTGTCATCATCATCACCATACTGATCATAATGATGGTGAAAATGATATCATTATCTCTAGCCCACATGATGCTGCACAATAATAAGTCACTAATGAACAAGCATGACATTCTGCTAGGCGTTGCACTAAGTGCTCTACCTACATGATTTCATTTAATCTTCAGAACCTGGGAGGCACTCACCATTATCCATGTCTATACAGATAAAGAAACAGGCTTGAAAAGGCAACTCACTAGCATCAAGATTTGAATCAAAACCATCTGACTTTAAAGTTCACTTTAACTACTATTCTGTATTACTGAATTTGTTATCAGGAGTATAGAAATAATGCCAGATATACAAGGCTGAATTCAAGGGGGTGGGTATGGCCACAAAAAATATTGAATACTGATTGGTATCAATGTAAAAAAATCCACTTGAGAGCTCTAAAGCAACAGGTAAAAGTAATGGTGGATCTTGGATAGATGGAACAAAGGAGCGTCACTGGTGTCTATTAGTAAGGGGGAGGTGAACCATTTGGGAAGATTTGTCCAAGCAAAGCACACTTTAGGATCTGAAGGGATTAGTGTTAGGGAACCCTCAACTTCCCCACTCCTGGATTTAGCCTTTAGCCATTGCATTATGCCCCCGAGAGCTGCCAAGGACTTTGGGATGAATCATATGAGGAGTATCAGTGGAGTAGGGTTGGAGACTTAAGGTTTATTAATTAACTTCTGAACCAGCTTTATGAATAGTATGATTTAAAATACATGCCCTGTCCTGTATAAATTCTTCCCACATGCTTGCTGTTGCGTCAAATTTCTTTAAAATAGCACAGACACTTTTATTATTGATAAATCACTCATACTGAATTAAAATGGCACAGTTCTTCAAAACATATTTATTTCATACCATATTCAAGGAGGGTGGACTAGAGATCTGAGGAAGTAAAGAGGTTCTGGGGCTGGAGGTACGAAGACAGGCTTCGGAGACTTTTAGTTTCACAAGTTAAGTTTGTCTCCCTTTTTGCTATGAATAGATTAAAAAATCAGCTGTGCATAAAGAAGTTTTATAGTAAGAGCATTGTCCAAGCCAAAATATGCAAAATAATGCAAAATAGATCATATAAATACCTTTTTTTAATAAACCTCATTAGATTACAAAGGAACTTCATTTCCAAACTATTGGATAAATGAGTTACCACTATAGGGTTCCAAGAGATGAAAACTTGAACATTAATTCCTTTTAGAGCATCTATTTTTATTCTTGTTCTAAAGGATCTTACCGTTCCTATTTCATCCTCTCATTTTAATCTTTCCATTTTTCTGAAAAGCATGATGGACTATGGACTAACTTGTGAAGTAAACAGAAGTTATATGAACACATTTTAAAAAATCGTGGCCACAGTTATAATTTAATACTTCATCATTTTAAAGTTTGGCATTATAATTTAACTTACCTTCACGAGTTATTAGGAAAAGATAGGGCCTTGAATGTAAAAGTGCTTACAAAATACAAGTGAAAAAGTTATAATAATATTTTCTTGATATAGATTGAACAATTAGATAATTTAATATAATCATTGGTATAAGGAGAATCATAATTTAAAGCATATTTCTCCTGCCATTATTGTACCCTCTTTGTTAGTTTCAGAATTCTAATGTTTATTTATTGTTATTTCTCAGATATAGTAGCTGGAAAAGGAGATGGTGGAGAGTCGATTTATGGACCAACATTTGAAGGTGTGTATCTTTAAATTTTGTCAGTCATATATTAGTTGATTATTCAAATTTAACAGGACAGGACAGTTCATAGCTCCAAATAAGATAGTGTTTGGGGTAACATACTAAAAGTACACATACTAAAACAGAGTTGAAAATGGGGAGGGAGGAAGATACCCCAGTCCAATCCAGAATAGCTTTTTATGCACAATTTTTCATTCATCTAATTATTTCTTTAGGATAAATTCCTAAAATTAAGATTGTAGGGTCAAAGAGAATTGGTATTTTTAAGGCTTGTAATTCGCCATTCTCAGAATTGGTACCTTGATAATCATCCTGTTAAGGCTGTCTGGGATCCTGGGAAGATGGTAGTTGTGGTGGCATCATTTTTTCGTTTTTTAAAATCTCAACATAAAAAACAGACAAAAGAATTAGAAAAACTCAAAACCCATGGATAACATTTACAACAAAACTAGCTGGCAAGCTAATTACATGAATCCCAAAGTGCAAAAAGGTGAGGATATACTACCAACAGCCACAAAATCTGCATGGTATTCGTATCAGTATGGGAGAAAGCAGGGCATCTGAGGAGCCTGAGAATACTAGAACCCCCAAGTAGCCAATGACTGGTGAGTGCATAGGCCCCTAGTAAGGTTTGAAGTTGCTAGAGCAATTAACCTCTGTGAACTCTCAAAACTGATCTGAAATGGCTGTCTTCCAGGAGAGGCTCACACTGAAGAGGAATTGTTGGGAATTGAATCAAAATTATGCAAGATATAGGGATCAACAGTGATAAAGAGGGAATGGGAACAGAGCCAGGAAATCTCAGAAAGCAAGCTGCCATATTGTTGAACATGACATAAAAACACAAAAGGGAGCTTTGTAAAGTTGGAAAAGCTACTTTCCTTTTAAACCCCACCTACTTCTAAACATTTAGGAAAACTAATTTTACATATAAATGAGCAGCAAAAAGTTTATGGTTATTAGAAGATAAAAGAGAATAAATAACAGAGTAACATCACTGTAGATAATGAAAGCACACTAGAAAGACGTGCTCACAAAAGAATTCAAAAATGATCATTTCAAAACGAGCTAAAAGACATTAAGAGAATGATACAAGACAGGAAAGAATTCATAAATCAGATTAGAAAAACTCAGATATGAGGTTATACAACTGAGGAAAGAATTAACAGTAAAATTTTAGAAATAAACGAAGAAATACAAGATCAAAAACAAAACAGGCATTTGTCTTAAAAGAATTAGAAGGTAGGAGTACATTTTTTAAAAAACAAAGATTAAGAATGATAAAAAAGATTTATAAGAAAGTGACAAATATTAAAGATAGAGAAGATCTAACATATGGATAATTATCCCTAAAGAATTAAACCAATACAAAGGAATGGAACAATACTGAGAAATATAATTGAAGAACTCTTTCCTGAAATAAAAAAGGATTTGATGGTCTATATTTTGTTTTGGGTGATGGTTACACAACTATACAAAATTGTCAAAAATGCATCAAACTGAACAGCTAAGATATATGTATTTTATTATGTGTTTTACCATAAGTAAAAACTTATGTATAGAAAACTTGAAACTGTTTATCGAAAGAGCACTCTGCTACTTGACAATACTGAACTAGAACCAACACCAAGACATACTTTAGTGATATGATTGGACATTAAAGAAAAATAAATTTCTTTAGGCAACTAAGCAGAAAGAGTAGATTATCATCATGTTCTTTGACATCATATTCTTATGCCAGAAGGAAATGGAGTAATACATTTATGATGCTCAGGGAAAGGAAATGTGAGCTAAGGATTTTATATTGAATTTGAGTTGTAAAAGGGCACACAGAGTTAACAACAGCTAAAACTTTAGGAAATAGTGTTACCACGAGCCCTTCTTGAGGAATTGACTGTAGAATGAATTTCACACAACCTAAGTACAGCAGACACCTTGACATAAGGACTGGTGCTGAGCATTAATTGTATAGTGACTCGTAAAACTAAAATTTAATGAAGATCAAAAGGGTGAGAGTATGGTATGAATGACTATATGCTTAGTCTAATTATTTAAAACATAAAGGAAAATGAGAATACATGCAAAAAATTTAAACTTTTTAGTAATTATACTGGTGACGATATTATTATTATTCTGAGATTGTTGTATATGTAATGTGGGAAAAGTAATTAATATTCTCATATTCTAATTTCATTATTTCCTGTGTCCTTGAGAATCAGGATTTTCACTGTGGAAGGAAGGAGAGACAGATGAAATATGACAGAGGCTAATAAGTAAAATAACCATAATTCTAAATGAATTGGAAATTTCACTTTAAACTCAAAAGTGTCTCATCTATGTATTTAGCTCTGTCTACTGAATTGGTCTACAAACAATACAATAGTGACACACTGCTAGCATTTAGATTATTGTTTTGCAATGTCATTTCTTGCTTAAGGAAACCAGGGCTTCTGGGAGAAATGGCAGATTCCAGTTCTGCAACAGGAAATTACAAAATGAGCCTGAAACCTCATGTTCAGTCATGTACTGTCATCAGCTAGCAGGAGTGCTGTTAAGGATTTACTGGGGTCATGTCAAAGGCCTCAGAAGCCAACCTGAAGAGGTTCTCACTGGCCAATAATGGAGTAATTTGAATAGTAGTTGCAATTGATTAAAACGGAACACATACTTTATTTTTTATTTTATTTACTTATTTTTTTTTTAGGCGAGGCAACCCTTGGTTGACCTCACAGATTGCAAGGACCTTGTCAGCTTATGATCCCTTATTTTTTTTATTTTTTACGCCTACAGCCCCTGGTCTTCCTAGGTGGTCCCCCATCCAAGTACTAACCTGTTTAGCTTCTGAGATCAGACGGGATTGGGCTTGTTCAGGGTGGCATGGCCGTAGACCGGACAGATACTTTAAATCCAGGAGTTCATAATGCTATTATAAAGTAAAGCCTAATTGCTTACCTATGGGGGAATGATAGGAAATTAATTCGTTATCTTGAAAACTGATAAGTATAGAGAAAGAATCAAGCATTTATCTTGCCTTTCCTATGTGAACTGGACCAAATTGTAGATAAGGTGAAACAACTCATTACAAAAATATTCCAATCATTAATGAAAGGGAAATAATAGAATTAGAATATCACCATTTCGCTGTCCCTAGTGAAATAATGGATCTAGGCATTTGCTATGTTGGTTGTCTGCTGTCTTCACAAAAACAATAAACAGGACACTATGAGCCTTCTATTGAGAGAACATATTACCAAAGGGATAGAACAGGAGTCTGATTAAGCTTCTGGACCCAGCTGCCAACCTTTAAGAAATAGAACCAGTTCTGCCATAATGTATTCTTAAAGATCTCTGTACTATGTAAAACTATGCAATAAAAACCAGAGGACTTACAGGAAAAACGAGGTAAAAAAACTTAGTGACACATTAAAAAATAAGATAATAACCTAATAAAAACAGTAACAGTTTTACACATATTATGTGATCAAGAAAAAAAAACTAACAAGTGAGTATGACACTCGACCTTGTAAACTCCCTGACATTCGTGGAGGAGGCGTGGGAAGATTTGCAGCTGATGAGTGATTGGGAAGTGGTGGAAGGAGGGTTCTCTGAAATCGAAGGCAAGTTGCAACACCAGAGGTGACATAATACAGTGACCTGAAGCTGGTGTATGTCTGAATTGTGTGTGTTCCTCTGCAGCACAGCTCAGTTCAGCTGGGTGCAGTTTTCTACATTCACCTGTTTCTCCCAGAGGAGACTGCACATGAGCAGAGATGGAATTCTCATGCTCAAGTCCTTTCCTAATCTATCAATCAAGGTGAAACTAATGTGCATTTTCAGCACAAGTATTATAGCCGAGCTGAGAGGACAGAGAACAGAGAATTATATTAAACTCCACTGTGTGTGTGGAATGAGCAAGCTCCAGACTGGGAGAAATTCTAGAGGTTAAATAGTTCAGGTTCATTAACAGATAAAATGTAAGGAAAAGAAAGGGATAGAGGCAGAGCATGTAGATTAAAAGAGATTTAAAAGGCATAACAAGTCTTTTTAAATGGGGAAGACTAAACTATACTATGTAGGGATGCACACTTGGATGACAAAACTATAAGGAAACATTAAGTACTTAATTTTATGTAAAAGTCGGGTGAGGAGAGAGTGACTTGACAAAGACGTCAGGGGAGGCTGGCAAAGTTTTTTCTCTTGGTCTGAGTGGTGGTTAAAAGGGTGTTTGCTTTGTAATAACTGATAATAACTATATGTTAATTTTCTGTGGCTTTTTATATTTGTATTTTAATATAAAGGTTTAAAAAAATAATATCAAACCAATGGCCAAAGTAAAAGGGAAAAATAAAAGCTAGTTTCCTTCTAAATTCATGTGAAGACAACTTTATCAAATGAAACCATGCAAGTGACACCATTCATTTATTTACTCATAAAACATTAAATTTTTAGTTTGGTTGCTACATAGTGTTAGGGCCTTTGGAAACAAAGATGAAGTGACCAAAATTTCACCCTCAAGAATTTTAGTTTTTGTGCAGACAGATGTTTAAATAGATAAACTACAGGTGTTATGCCAATTGCTATTATGAAGGAAGAACCGAGTGCTGTGGGACAAGACAGAAAAACTGCCTAGGAGAATTGGGGGTGGTGGTCCAGAGCAGCTTATGAGTTCAATCTTAAAATAAGATGGTACAGACAGGGAAAGATGTTCCTGGAAGCTTTCTTTGCGTCCTTAATGCCTGATGAGAATCCATCATATGCTCTCTATCCCACAGCCATTATCAGATCCCCCCAACTCTTTCTGCTTGGAGGCACAGTCTGACAGAACTTTGGCCTTCTGGCCAATAGGAGACCGATTGCTTAGTTCATCTCCTCACCTGCCCCTCTGGACATCTCTGTGCCTCCACTGATTATCCTTTGCTACCATCCTTAGGCTATTGTGCGGATTTGGACTCTGCATAGAGGCCTGGCTGTCGACTGGTGCCCAGTGAGAAGACCCAGTGTGCTCAGGGAAGCCTCTGTTATTCAGTTTGTCTGGCAGTGCAGAATTAGAAATTCAGTAACCAATCAAGAAAAAGGAGAGAGACTCCAGAAGGAAAGATGAGTGTGGAAGAGAAATCATGACTAGTACTCAAAACAGTTATAACATGGGTTCCCCTCCTCTTTTCACCCCTCTGAGGAATGTTAAGATGAGGACAGCCAGTCCTTCCTCCACATTTCTCTCTTGGGACCCTATTTCCATGAGATGCAGAATTAAAAGCCAGGGCTTGTTAAAAACAACTACAACCACAAAACTCACTTTTATTAAGCTTAACACGATGAAGTTAAAAGAATGACTATATAATTTAATAAGATGATTATTTTATAAATTGGTTAATCTTTTTTTAACTTGAGGAAAGTTTGTTTTGCTTTGTTTCAAATCACAACTTTAAAATTGTCTCCTCAGATACCATTTTGAATATTAGAAGATAAATATTAACCCTTTTTTTCTCCTTGTATTTTTTGTATAGTAATCCTTATCCATCTTTCTCTCAAAGGATTGGTGACTAGATGGCTTGGGCTGACTGGAGAAAAGATCATTTTATATGAAAAGCAAGAGAAAAAAGCATATGTTTTTAAATATGGTATTTTCCTTGTTCTGTTAAGCAGATCAGTTTCTTAATATTAGCTCGTGCCCTAATTCACATTAAGTAAACCAGTTTCTCAATAGTAGTTTGTGCCCTAATTCACTTAAAATATATTTGTCTAATTTCTAGATTACCTTATCTTTAAACGAAAGTGGACATTAATAAAAAGCACAGAGCCTAATTCACTGTCAGTATGACATAATGCAGCTAAAAGTTATACAAAAGTATTTTTTTATTAGAAACAAGAATTGAAGATAATTTAGTCTAAGTAGCTATTTAAGGGTTATTTGTTTTAATTGTGAGATTTCTATATATAGAAGGTGCATTTGTACAAAAGGTGCATATGTAATCAAAAACCCCATATTATAATCTTTGTCAAGAAAGAAAAACTGCCAGCATGCCAGAAGTCCCCCATTTGTCCATTCTCAATAATAACTCCATCTTCCTCTAAGAAGCAACCACTCACCTTTTTCCTTGCTTTTCTCGATAGTTTTACTACTCACGTGTGGATACCTAAACAATATAATTAAGTTACTTATGCCTGTTTTTGAACTTTATATAAATGGAATTATATGGTAGACATTCTTTGTGTCTTGCTTTTTGTTCATCATGGCCTATGAGATTCACCCATGTTATCTGTAGCTGTAATTCTCTCATTTTCACTGCTGTTTAATATTATAAATATACCATGATTTATCTATTCAAGTGTTGAACACTTGGCTCTTTATTCCTCATGCCACACACATAATCAACATGTTTAAATATTTCATTAAAGCAGCAGTTTAAAAATGCTAGGTAGCAGACTTTAATTTACTTTTCTGTAACAAGAAATAGTGATAGGCTATTATTAAAATATGATAAAATTAGAGCAGTGAGTTTAAAAAATTGATATTACATGATTCAGGTCAGAATAACTGTCCTTAGAAAATTCCAATGTGACTATGGAAATATGTCACATTGTCTGATTATACTTTTACCAGAGAGAATGCAAGGCAGTTTCTCAGACTTATAGTAGTTCCTTCCATTTTAAGTATGAGAATGAGATTTATTTTTAAAAAATTCAGAAACTGATTTTTTTTCACATAAATTCTGATTCCTATTTCAAATGAACAGTCCCATTTCACTCTTTATGTCGTATGTTACAAATGATGCCAGTTTTAACCACAGAGCAGTAACTACTACTTAGTACCTTCCCGTAAGTGGCAGAGGCAGGCAGGAATTCCTGAATCACAGACATGTAATGAAAGGGTTCTGAGTTTCTGCCATATCGGTTAAACTCCCTGAACTTCTTTTATCCTTTATTGAAAGTCCAGGCCTCAGTTACCATGATCTAAAAATAAATTTTCTAAGTATTCTGAGTTAGCCGGCTCTCAAAATTGTTTGCTTTCCTAATTTTGCCCAGCAATTAAAAAAACCTCTTTTTTGTTCCTCCCACTCCAAAACTTTGGTAAATTGTTTAAATTTTTCCTTTTCACTCAGGGATGCTGATAAAATAATCTATAATAGTTAATTATCTCACTCAGACGTAGTGAGGGGAAAAGGAAAAGTGTTGATTTAATGGCCACTTTTTTTCCTGTCTCCCCAAAAATTATTATGTGAGCAGATAAATTTACATTTTTTATATAACTCAAAAGTGTTAAGCTCAGTACTTAGAACAGTACTTGGAATGCAGTCAGTATTTAATAAATATTTATTGAATGAACAAATGTTCAATTAAACCTGGGATTTTCATTCTCCATTTTAATATTGTTACTTATAGAAAAATATATTTCTCTCTATTAATGCAAATATACTATTTGGGTAGCCATTTTTCAGTAAAGCTCTTTTCAGAAAAGATTTTATTTTGAACTCTATTATGTCATTGGCTTCTATCTTTAATTAGGCGATATGCTCTGGCAATGGCTTTGTTCCCTAAGTGAGTTGGTAAAGCAGGTGCCAGTAGACCAGTCCTAGCTTGCAACTCCTGTCAAGTTTATATAGGAAGGGTCACCACTGCTTGCTGTCCTCGGCAAAGGCCCCACCAGTACCTGTGGAGAGAACAGGAAGGGAAAGGATGACTCCTCACTACACCCCATTAAGAGCAAGTTGAATTCCATCCAAGGACTTTACCTATTTGTGGCAGTCACTGAGAGGTTGCCCTCTGCCCTGCCATCACTGCCAGTCCGGAAGCAGCGTAGCCTCAGGTCCTTAAGTTCCACATCAACAACATTCTGTACTTAATATCATAGTCACTTATTTTTACACATTTTTCAGGTCAACACATTTTAAATTTGTAAGTCGGGAACTACCTACACCTTTTAAAAACTTTTTTTCTATCCTTTTATAGCAGTGGTTTTCAAATTGCCCTTTAAGTCGTTTGTTCCATAGGGGTGCTGACAAAGTATCCTCAGGATGTGAGAGGGCTCTAGCCATTTTATCTGTTTTATATGTGGGCTTTCACACAGGTAGCATTTTTTGAATAGGTGTTATGTGAAAGTTCCATAATCGCAAGTTTTTGGTAAAAGTGTCACTCTATAAACTTTCTTATTACTTACAGAATTTAAGAGAAATTAATCATATCTAAGAGCAAATACCATTTTGGAAAAACTCTTTAAATCTTTGCTTTAGGTGGATTTCTATTCCATGTGATTTTTCTCCGAAATTAATGGGTTGTTTATTCCACTGAAATGAATATGGAGCATCAATGTAATTATATAGATACGTGTACAAAAATGCTTTACTTGCATTTCATAAGATTCCAGATGTCTTTATTCAGTTTGCAATTTAACAAGCTAAAAGTAACCATCACAGATATGTCTTAATTGCTTATCTGGCTTAGCTTTGAAACTTAAGAATAGTCAGCAGTTGCAACTTAAGAAAAATCTTATTGAGAGTTAATATTTGTATCTCTCAATTATTCCCAGGGTTTTATAGTTATTGAATGGTAACTTTTATTGAATTTCTCTCCTACCACTTCCTTCTGTGTTTTTAAGTTTGGAGGCAAATCTTATTTCATGTTGGAAATGGTACTTCCTGAAAATGGTAGCATAATAACTACCTTATAATTCTTTTTGCTTGTTAACCTTGAACTTAAAAAAAAAAAAATTACTTTCCACAAAATCTTGATCACTCCATATAAGGTTTGAGATTGAAATTTATTTAAAGACTAATAAAAATACGTATAAATTCATTTTCTTTCATTATCAACATTTAAGGCCACATGTACGCTAGGTAATGTGCTAGGAGACCCTGGGGGTAAAGCTATGAGATAAGGCCCCTGCCTTCGCATACTAGAGAGGAAACAACCGTGTACACAATTACATGGAATGTTATAAAGACCACAGTGGAGGTCTATATAAGATGTTGTGAGGGGAAGGGTCATGTCCACGAAAGCATTTGTAATTATCACATTGGTAGTTTGAATGAAATACTACTGACAAAACAGCACAAGAAAATGGGCTGACCTTTATCCTAAGCAAAGTATGTGCTTCCTTTTACATTGTTAAAGTACTTCCTTTTACATTAGTAATTTTCTTAGTACACTTGTTTTTAGCTATGGTAATAATAAACTAAAAGCAAATGCTCAAATAGTTCTAATAAGATTTTCCAGCCTTTTTGACAGCCCAGTTGAGTGAAAGTAATATGAAATATATTATTTGCAATTTGGAATGTATTGATAAATATGATTGAGAACCCTTGTTACCAAGGATTCTGTGCTTTACATATTAGAATCAATTGAAATAATAGAAACATTTTAATAACCTACTGTTAATATTGTCTTTTCTAGATGAAAACTTTTCAATTCCTCACAATAAAAGGGGAGTTCTTGGAATGGTCAACAAAGGCCGTCACAGCAATGGGTCACAATTCTACATCACACTACAACCAACTCCCTATCTAGATAAAAAATATGTGGCTTTTGGGTATGTGCATTGTAAATTTGTATCTATACTATTCACATATGAAAATGGTTCAAAAAGACTTGGGTAAGTATGGTACTGTGGGTAGCTAAGATAGAATTTAAAAGCAAAAGTAATACAAATGTAGATAAACATTTAGAAATAAATATTTTGTAAGATGCTTGATATCTATAAAAAACACAGAAACCATTTAGGCACAGCCATTATAATTTTATGTCCATCCATCCATCCATCCATCCATCCATCCATCCATCCTTCTATCTTATCAATTCTTAATTACTATGAATAATACAATAGTCCTTAATAATATAGATATATTTAGATGCAGAAGTGAAGTGAAGCCATTTAAGTAATTGTCTATGAAAAATGAAGAGATAGATGAAAACTATCCAGGGTACAAGTAATTTTTCTTTTTTACAGAACAATTTGTGGAAATATCTCAAGTAATAATTGTTAGAATATCATTAAGATGCTTATGGGCATATGGATCTAAAATGGATGAATATACTTTTCATCACTGCAGTGCTTTGTGTCTGTGATTACCGAAGTGACTATAAGTTGAAGCTAGCTTTGTTTTCCCTGAAATGACATAAAATATTAGAATTTTTTCTGAATATGTATTATATTATTCCAGTCACTCCATAGGGATAATTATTGACTCTTTATCCCATGAAAAAATATTATGCCCGTGTTAATTTTAACCACAAATTTCACATGTGGCCATTGAGCACTTGAAATGTGGCTAGTGCAACTGAGGAACTAAATTTTATTTAATTTTAATTAAATCTAAATAGCCACATGTGGCTAGTGGCTACCATATTGAGCAGTGAAGGTCTAAAGTAACTCCTAGGATTTTGGAACTTGTTGGATAGCGGGTGCTATTCACCAAGATAGAGAATACAAGGAGGAGGATATGGGAGAGAAGATCATGAATTCAAGATGGACAAGTTATAATTTAGGTTGAGATACCTATATGACAGGAAGGTAGCAACTCCTGAATACCAGAAGTAGGTGTTCAAGCTGGGCAAGGGCTGGAGATGTAGATTTGGAAGCTGTCTACATGGCAGCTGAGCTGCAGCCAGACCAGAGTACCATCACTCCCAGAACAACCTCTGGGCTTTTGCTTATTTGTTCCTTTCTGCCTCCCTTTAGTCTGCCAAAATTCTGTTTAAGGCTTAGGTCAGAAACCTCCCTAATTACCCAAACTGCTTCTTGGTCCTCTTTGGTGAACAACGTGAAGTAGGGACTGGGTCTCACTCATCTTGTGCGCTAACACCTAGCACAGTGGAGAGGTACACACGATAGGTACTCACTCAATATTTGTGAAGCCAGTTTGGAGAATAGGCATCACATCCTCTTTGGACAGGGGTGAATCTGTCCATTTATCCCCTGCTCGTCATCCTCAGAATGTATTTTGTATTTCGTGTCCTGCTCCGTGTCATGGTTTCTGATTGGGATGGCAAAAGCAGAGCCCAGAGGCAGACAAAGAGGTGTCTAGAGCATGATTAATGTCAACACTGTGTCCCTATAAAAGTTCATGAAATTGAAATCGCACCTTCCCCTCAGCCACTGCCTCAACCCAAACATTGGCAGAAGAGACCGGTCCTGTGTTTGGGATTGTCTCTCTTTTAGTCCAAGAAACCATCGAAAGTCTAGCTCCACTCAGACCACTAGCTCCCTCCGTGGCCTACGAATGTCTACAAAGATCCAAATTAACATGGCTTTGAGCTGTCTTTTAGTCATATATTCAATGGATGTTAATTAGGTGCCTGCGCTGTTCCAGGCGTTGTATTAGGCACTGAGCACTTAGCAAAAGCATGATATCTGCCCTTATGATAGAATCTAAATGAGTCAAAGAAGCATACAAGCAAATGTCAGATTTAACCCTAATAACTCCTGTAAGGAGAGGAGGGGGAATGGGCCATGAGCAGGGGGTCTGGAGAACTTCCCCAAGGAGGTGATGACTTGAGTTGAGATCTGAAGGAAGGCCAAGCACAAGTGTGTGGGGGACTGGCCAAGAGCAAAGGAGACAGCTGTAGCAGGATGAGCTCAGGATGTTACTGAGGTACTGAAAGCCAGTCTGGCTGAAGCAAGGCAGGGGAGCATGCTGCAAGACAGCCCTGGAAGCTCCTGTGGAGGCTGGCCATGGTTGGCCATGGTTGGCCATGGTAGAGATTTTTGGTCTTTATCATAAGGATAATGAGAAATTACTTAAGTGCTTTAAGCAGGGAGATGAGATCCGGTTTGCATTTTTTAAAGGTCACCCTGATGGCGGTGAGGATAACAGATTGGAAAGGTCCCAGACAGATGTGAGGCAACCATGCAAAGTGCATACATTTGGAGCTGTTAAGGATATTTATGACTGATGTTAATTTACTTTGTAGGAAATAGCCTTAGCTAAGCTGGATAGGCCTCAATTTAGAAATATAAGGTAAACGTGAAAATTTATAACTAAATTTTTCATTTTTTCCCCTGTATTAGGCAATTGGTTGAAGGAACAGAAGTTCTCCAACGACTAGAATTGGTTCCAACAGAGAATGAAAGACCAATACAACAATGTTTGATTATTGGCAGTGGAGATATTTATGCTTGATTTTCATATTAATATATTCCAACAAATTATTATGTATTAATCAGCTGTTTCTAAATTTAATTAAATCTAGATAAAATTTAATGTGCTTGATAAAATTTAATTGAAAACTGTTGCAGGTGCTGTAGGTTAGTTCACCTAACACCCAGTATCTCTTCATTTTCTTTCTTGCCTCTGCCATAGAGACTATAAAAGCCAAATACTAAATTTCCCAGCCTCCTTTGCAGCCAGGAGTGGCAATGATTAATGTCAGCACTGACTGTGTCCCTATAAAAGTTCATGAAATAACAGCTCATTGCTATAAGCTCATTCTGGCCAGTGAGACACGGGTAGAATGTAGTGGTCCTGCCCCTTCCCCTTCATTCAGTCCTGAAAGCAGGGAGGCTGGAACCATGAAAGAAGGGCCAAGAGAACTGCTGAGATGTCAGCCCCAGCTCTTAAGCTGCATAACCAATACCAGCAACTATCTATCTCTGGACTTCTTACTATATGAGACAAATAAATCCCTGTTTATGTCACTGTTGGTTGAGTAGCCAAAATCATTCTTAATTTAGCAGTAGTACCTAATGGTCTTTGAATCTTAAAATATTTGAATAGAATCACATTGTTGTTTGTAACTACATTTCTGCCATGAGGAACTTTGTGTATAAGCAAGTAGGAGAGACAATAGAAAAAAAGAATTGATTGTAAAATTTAATTGTTTATATATAGCATTAAGAAAAGGGTATATATATTTTGGATGTTTTTATATGCATGAATAGAATGATTCTCTCTGAGCCATACCAACCAAGACCTTGGGTTACAGTCCCCGTGATGGTTGACTTCTGAGATATTACTGGGGAACCATCTTTATCAGCTGCTCCTTAATCTGAGATTCTCAAACTCATATCACCTGGGAACTTTTTCAGTAAGATTGCTGGATCCTGTCCTTGACCTATTCAAGAGTCTCGAGATGTGAGACAGGGATTCTATGCAGTCATTTAGCTCTCTCCTCAGAGGTTCTTATTTAGCTAGCTGGACACTAGCCATTTGGGATCACTGCAAGATGTAAGTAACTGGTTTCAGCCTCCTTTTAGTAGTCAGCAAAGTGCTTAACTCTGAAAGTTAGGGTGACATTGCTTAGCTACCTTAGCTGCTGCTACCACCACTGCCATTGTAGTCCTGCTCTGCCCAGAGTCATTGTGCTTTTCTTGCCCTTAGCAGATTTGTCTTCAGAGATGATCTTTGAGCCAGTCTTATAGAGACAAGCCTCTAATTGACTTGGGGCTTGCAGAAGGTAGGCATATGCTTTTTGTTTGTTTTATTTTGAAATGATTATAGAGTCACGGGAAGTTATAAGAATAGTACAGAATAGTCCTGTGTACTGATCACCCAGTTTCCCCAATGGGCATCTATGTAACAATGCCAAAATAGGCAATTGACATTGATACAACATGAGTGTATTGTCATTTTATCACGTGTAGATTTGTGACTGATAACCACGATCAACACACAGAAGTTTTTCAGTGTCATAGAGACCTCCTTGGGGTTGTCCATTTATAATCATACCTATTCCCCTGCTCCCTACCATGTCTAACTCCTGAAAACTGGCATATTTTTGTTATTGTTGTTAATAACAGCTCATTGCTATAAGGCATATGGTTTTACACTAAGATCTGAAGTAGGTGGAGAGAAAGCATAGTGCCTGTATCAAATTCTTAACTGGCCCAGAGGCAGCATAGTGTTAAGAATGTGTGCCCTAGGGGGTGGCTCCATAGTGTAGTGGTTAGCACGTCTGCTTTACACGCAGCAGAAGGTCCTGGGTTCATGCTCCAGGTGGAGCCACAGACCATACGTGGGTACACCAGGCCCCCTGAGTGCACTGGGGGTGCCAGGCTCCAGGTGCTCCCGACCAAGTGCATGCCGTGAGCGTGTGGGAGGAGACGCCCCGCCTTCAGAGATCTAGTTCTTAAGGGGAAATGGCAACATCCATAGGTCAGGGGTGTAAGTGGGGCGAGGGTGGCGGCAGGGAGGAATTAAAGAGAGGGTGGGGGTGGGGAAAGAATGCGTGTCCTAGAGCCAGACAGCCTGGGTTTGAATCCTGGCTCTGTCATTCTCTAGCTGTATGAAATCCAGCAAAAACTTCACCGAGCCTCTATATCCTCAAAACAATAGTACATAAGACATAGAGTAGTTGTGAGCATTCAAGGAATCAATAGTTTGTATATAAGACCTACCTAGAATAGGACCTGTTATACTGTAAATGCTCAATAAATATATGCTCAATAAATTACCAGTGTATAACCTTCAGAGTGTCGCCTAGGAGCTTGTATTTTTAAAAGCTCTTCAATGACTCTGATTAACAGGCAGATTTGGGTAACACTGAAGAGGAGCTACCTCCTCCCCCTCTATTCTTGAGTTTCGGCCGGCCTGAGTATTCAGGCTTTTTGTATGAAGCCTCCAGATCCTTTCTCTGGGCCTTCAGATGGGTTCCTCTGGTCACACTGGTGGTATCTCAAAATGGGGCGGGAGACTGGACTTATCGCAGGGACTCTCACCAGGTCATGAAACGTGATGAATGAAACTGATGCTTTGCAGAGATCCTGGTTAAAGCAAATTATAAGCATTAGTCATGTAATAACAAGCAGTAGAGCAATTCTTACTGGCAATGAACCTGTATATTAGGACATGAAACATTTTATGTGAAAGAACTGGGATATTTACATGGGTATAAGAAACTCATTTCAGCTCCCTTTAATTTTCAATTTAGCTGCAATATAAAGGTAGAACACTGCACACTTTCTAAAAGATGGCAAGTTCATGGTCCCTTTGTTCCCTCACACTTTCCACTTTAGGCTGTGTAGAAACCACGGATCTGTATAGGCAGTGGTTCTTATTACCCCCATTTAAAGGTACACATAGTGATACTTCTGTATCAGAATGTATTCTGCATTAGAAAGATTTGTATATTTAAACATGTTGTTTGTAGAAACTGATTATTATAAAGTACTCAAAAGCTTATCTCAAGTAACTCTAAATATAAGACTGATTTAACCAAATTAAAAGACTTCGATTTGATTAAACAGAAAGAATTCTAGACTTTTCCATATTTACAAATGGTAAAGGTATTCTGATGATTTATACAATATGTTACTTATGTGACCTTGTTCTAATTTTTGATATGGCAAAGTCAGGTACATACACTGCATCTTATACTAAGCATGTTAATGACAGGAGTGTGGTATCTAGACATTTTTCTTATTTTGAGAGATTTGTGATAAACATTTAAAATTCTATCTAAAGAATGTGTTTGTCCCAACTGCAGATGGTGCTAGTTATTTGTTAATGAATGGTCTGGCAAACCTCTGGATTCCATACTCTGAGTTTTTACACTTTACACATATTTTAAATTAGGTATGTCGGTTTTAGTCCCAGCTGTCTAGCAATGTGGCATTCAAATCACTTAACCTTTCACTTATTTGTAAAAAGAATAGAGAAGTAAAGAGATTATTAGCTTCCTTCTGGCTCTAATCACTTTAGTGATTCTCTGAGTAAATTTATAAAATCAATAACAATACTATTATTTGCCTTGGGGCCTCAATTTCATTAGTAAAGTGGGGGTATATCTACCTCATAGTGGTTTGGGGATTAATTGAGATAATATGTGAAGACACTTCTCATGATGCTTGACACATGGCAGATATTCAATACTATATCGATTATACTATATCGATTATACTATCCACTACTTTTCCCAAAATGGAATCATAACTTAAAACTGACAAATCTAGTCAGTCCATATCTCAAATAAATTTTATACATCATATAAAATATTTGTAACAAACTCAATAGTAAAATATACAACATAAGTATCAAAGTTTGGTATTTGATAGGGGGCTTTGAAAATGTGATGAATCATAGGTTGGTTGGTTGGTTTGTTTTTCCTTCAGTGTGCATCAGAAATACTTGAGCCTCTCAAAACACAGAGTCCTGGGACCTGCCCTAGTTTCTGATTCAGTGGGTCTGGAGTGGGCAGAAGAATTTGCATTTTTAATATGTCCCAGGTTTGCTGATGCTGCTGGTCTGGAAACCATACTTTAAGAACCACTGGGATGTATTAAAGACATAGATCTATATGAGAGACTTACGGCATGTCGGTATGTGGAAGAAAGATGTAAGTTGTAAAACATTAAAGAGCTACTACAGTAAAGAAAGAATGAGGAAAGACAAGACAAGAAACTTTGATTTTAACAAGGCAGCAGAAAGGTATGCAAACACTGGCCAATCAAAAGGGACAGAGACTAGAGGCCTGGTGCAGGGTCCTGGAGCTCCTGGCTGGGTGGAAGGTGAGCTTTACAGCTGCTGTAGAGGCACCATGGCAGTCTGGGGGTTTGGGGAAGGAGCTGGGACACTTGAACTGCTCAGGGCAGTGCTCTTTACCAGTGAATACAGAATCACTTGAATGTTTTAGTAACCAGAATGTCCATCTGTGTGTGCTCAGGCTGAAAATGGGCTCTCCAAGACAGGACTGGGAAGAGTACAATGACACCTGGGCACAGGGGGAAGTAGCTAAAGCAGGTTATCAGAAAGTTGCCAGGGGTATAGTTTAGCTTGAACTTGGGGTTTGTTCCTAAGGAATAAGTTAGAAAAAAGTCTGCCTTCTGTTTCCTAAAGGACTAAGAAATATGGAAAAAGTGCTAGCAGACTCAGGGGTTAAAGCAGAAAAGAAAGAAAATGCATCTCAGGTGCCAGCCTGGAGAGAACCTAGACGGGGCTCCATGAGTCCTGTGCATCCAGGAGTCTTGTGTTGTTTGTACCCTGACCTTACATTTTAAAAACAAACAAACAACAACAAAAAACAAACAAAAACTTTACAACATGTCTTGCTTGTTGTAATTTTGTAGAATATTCACCTTTGAGAACTGGAGCAATTTAGGAGGGTTATAGTGTAAAGCAATCTTAAACTTTCATAGATATACACATGTACATATTGATCTTGTTAAAATGCAAATTATGATTCAGGAAGTCTGAGGTGAGGCCTGAGATTTCGCATTTCTAACAGATTTTTAGGAGATATGATATTCAATGATATTCATGAACTCCACTTTGAGAAGAACAAAGCAATGGTTTACAACCTTAGCTGCAGCTTAGAAACACCTGGGAACTTTCATAGATATACACATGTACATATTGATCTTGTTAAAATGCAAATTATGATTCAGGAAGTCTGAGGCGAGGCCTGAGATTTCGCATTTCTAACAGATTTTTAGGAGATATGATATTCAATGATATTCATGAACTCCACTTTGAGAAGAGCAAAACAATGGTTTACAACCTTAGCTGCACCTTAGAAACACCTGGGGAGCTTTTAAAACTCCTGATGCCCAGGCATTATTCGAAACTAAATCAGTACTCAGGCATCAGTATTTTTCAAAACTTCCCACGTGGTTCCTATGTTCAGCCAAGGTTGAGAAGAACTGATCTAAAGTGTAATGTTTGCCCCTGAAACCCTGGAACAGTTATCAAAAATATCCATGGTCAAAGTGGAGTACCCCCTAAGGAGAGTATCTTTAGTAATTTTATCAATCCTAATCACAGTGTTAATAGAATCTGAATATACAGTTTTAGCTCACTATTAATTTTTATTACAATCCTTTGTTGAAACTTATTTAAATATTATATGAGATTTAATACATGTTGTTAAAACTGTATTATAGACGCCAGTCCTTGCTCTGGAATGGTGAAAATAACTTTAGAAGTCTAACTTGATCTAGCTCAACAGATGCCATGTAAAATAAAATAAGCAATGCTTCTTGAGTCTTAACACAATAGAATGAAATGTCCCCTTAAAAGAACTAACAAAAATCTAAGGACTAGAGTTGAACACCTAAGTGACAAAGTGTGACACAATGGCCTCGACAGTGGGGTGTGTTAATCCTAGGGCATAAAAAGATAATCCAAGGGCATGTGGGAAGAAAACAGAATTATTATATTTTTAACCTAAAAAAAAAAGTTGACTGGTGCCTTCATTTGGTCTGGGTGTCAGATGATCATGTGCCAAATAAACACTGTGTGAGAAATCTCCTGGGAGAAGAGCAGCCGTTTCACTGTTTGAAGGCTGATGATGGGACCTCACTTATTTACTTGGGTGCACTCTCATGCCTCCGGTCATAGGTTGGATCAATCAAAGATCATTTGTTTGCTTTTGAACAAATCTCCAACTAGTAGTCAATGTAACAAACGTCCGTAGCCATCAGGTTACAGAAAGACCCCAATGATTAGAATCTGGGGAGTTATAAAAGCTTTCAAATTTAGGCAAAAAAGGTTGAAGCACTGATGAGAAAAATTCTGAGATGTCTTAAATTAAATTACAGCAGGCCTGAGGATGAAAGAGACGTGGGAAATAAATCAGTTAACAATAGGTCAAAACCCACAAAGGACTGCTCACATTCTTGAAGAAATATTGAAATTTTGAATCAACTTCCAGTTGGCATCCTGCTTATGCATGAACTTTCCAGACAGTTGCCCACAACGAACAAATACTTCTTCCTATCGACTGTTCGCCTATCCCAGAACTTTCTCGACTAAATCTTTTCCTGACACCACCCGCCCCCATCCATAGCCAATGAAAATTCTCTTAAAACAACCTGTATCTTTCTGCTCCAAACTCATTGTATAAAAGAGCCCCTGTCAACCCCACGATGGTGGACACGTTTGTCTTCATCAAGTCCTGCTGCTGATGGCTCATCTGTGTCTCAGGACCCAGCCCTTTTTCTGGTTAGCATATAGCTCAGCAAACCCTTTCAGGACAATTTTCGGCCTCAAACGTGTTTAACAGCACTTATGTAGTCATCTTTTTTGGTGTTTTCATAGCAAAGCAGATCTCACAAAAACAATTACTGTGCGTGTTATTTTATTAGGATAGATGTGCATAATTAAAATTACATGGAAAATACAAATAGCTGAAAACATTAAATACCTAGCCTTTATAATCTAAGTTTTACTATTTGATGTAAGTATGGCTGCACTTGTGAATGTTTCTTTGAGACTGGGCATCAGATGGCGCTCACCCTTACTAAAATCCTGAGCAGTTACAGAACATTAGCAGACATTTGGAAATCAAACCCTGACACCAAGCAATCAGTGTGTTTTGGTCAAGTCACTTTTCTGAATGTTTCTTCACCTGTAAAGTGGGGGTGGGAACCGACCAGATGGATTTCCAACTCAGATCATCTTTGATTCTATGATTATAGTGATGGCATTGACTGAGTGCTGCTACCGCTGATGAAATAGCAGGAAATTCGGAAAAGTCAGGCTAGGAAAGCGTGACGGAGGTAGACGGTATGCAGCTGTGGATGGAAGGCAGGAGACTGCTTTCGGTGTTTCAGCGGCTCTCAGTACGTGGACCGCGTAGCAGAAACACCTTAACCACGTGGTGTCTCCCTTTCCCTGGAGAGTTTCAACACCGGGTTACTTCCAGCAAAAGCGATTTTCAAGGTAAAAAGCGAGGGTCCTTTTATGGACATGTGCAACACCTTGGGAATGCGGAAGCACGGCACAAATTTAACTCTTGGCCCAGGTTCTAATTGCACCGCGTGGAAACAACTTCCGTCCGGGGGAACTGGGGTCTGGCAGGCCCCGCCCTGAGGTCACGTGGGGCGGTGGAATTACAGTCTCACTAGTTGCTCTGGGGGACGCCACGCGCCACGTCATGTAGGTTGTTTCATGCAAGCCAGGTGGGAGCGTTCCCTATCGCAGGAAGGAGAAGAGCCCGAATGCATCCTGTGTGGGAATCTGAGGGGAAATAAAATAGTTTCCTGTGTCTTGCCAGTTTCTTTTCTATACAACAGTCACTTTGAGGGACGGTCTCCCTTGGTTTCCTCTCAATATCCCTTTCCCCCTCCCGCAGGATTCCAGTTGGTATCGTCCACGCCCCGCCTCCGCTCCACGGCGCCCCCTCAAGCCCCGGCAGGGGTCCCTCACGTGACCCCAGCGCACTCCCGCGTCGGGGAGAGTGGAGTCTCGGAGGCGGCGCCGCGGGTTAGAGAGGGACAGGCCGAGCGTTGTGCGCCGCAGCTCTCGCCGGAACACCAGCGCTGAATTCGAGATGTCGGGGCTCACCCGCCTGCTGCCTTGGGCCGCTGCATGCCTGGCCGCGCTCTGTGTGCTGACCGCGGTTGAGGGCACTGCCGCCCTGACCGCGAACACCACCGTGCAGCCGAACGTGACTTCAGCGCCCACCAACAGGACAGAACAGACGCTGTCGACGCTCCTGCCGGTCACCACTCTGGCACCAGGTGGGCGCTAGCCCAACCGGCTTCCTGCGCTCGCTCGCTCGCCGCCTGCCCGGCGGAGCTGCCCTCCCTGCCCGTGCTGCGCTGGGGGTCAGGGCGGGCCGCCCTCCGGAAAAATGGCGGCGGGTCCGAGTCCAGCCGCGCCGGGAGCGAGGTGGCCGGGGTGGGGGTGCACCCCGGTGGGAAGGGGCGGCCGAGTTTCGGTGGCCGTTAGCCTGTTTTTATCCCCATACTGTCCCCGTCAGAAGTGCTTTATAAAAGTGCCTCGTAATCCCTAGCCTCACCGTAGGCTCGAAAGAGGGGACGTGGCTTCCTTCCGTGGCGACGGCAGTGGGGTCGATTATGGGGCGAGGAGACGCGTCTCCAAGAGTTGGCAGTGAGAGCGAACTCCCTCTCTCTGGGCTTAGTCGTTTGTCCACCCAGGTACTCCGAAGAGAGGCTTCTCCGGAAGTTGCCGAAAGAGAGAAAGGGAAACTGAAGACAGTATTCCCTGGCGTCTCAGACTTGGGTCTGACAAAATAAGTCGCCTGAGATTTAATCACGTTAATTTTGCAGATATGGGATATATCTGAGGTTTGAGCGTTTAATTAAAACTTTACGTTTCATGCTAATGTACAAAGGACGAAAAAGTGCTCATTTGTGTACCCGGAGCTTCGCACGTGTCTCTTAGTATTTTATATTTTAGGCAAACTAGAAGGTGGTGAAACCTAGGAAATGGATAGAGAAAGTAACTGCCGCGACCGTATGTTCAGTAGATTGCGAAGAGAGGGTTGGAACTCAGATCTGTCGATTTTCTAGAACCGGATCAGGAACACATCTTTTGTTAAGCTCCGCAGTTAACTGGTTGAGGCACACACTAAATCTTAAAGAATTGGCAATGTCGCGACAATGTAAAAAAGAAGGGAGAATAAATTTGAGATAATAAGGTGAAGAAACTTGCAGTCCGTGATTGGTTATTCTAGTTAAGTAACCAGTCATCGTGACAGAATTGCTGTTTTTTACTTTGGCATTTTTTTTCACGCTAATCATATTGTTTTATAATTTTCCTCCTAGTTTTTGTATTTTATAAAAGTTTAATAAAATACCTAATAAAAAATGTTATTTGGTAGATTCAGAAAGATATAATGATAATATTCAAAAATTTTAAATAAAGGGAAATTACAGTACAATACTGGAAATTCTAACGCGCTCTTTTTATGATAGAGCAGAATATGTATTGTCTCCTGCTTATTTGGCAGTTCCTCTCAGAATTGTAGTTTTGTTGTTTGTATGGTTTTTAAGAAGCTTGTGTAATTTAAATGCATGCGAAGGCAGTGATTTAAGTAGTACTTTGATAAGCGGAAAGGTAGCAAATTTAGTTCATTGTTAGTGCCATTCACCATGCTATCCAAACATTCATCATCAAGCACCAAAGATTTTAAACAACTAGCATTTTTCATCTGTGTATAAACCCTCGAACTTATTTCTACTTTGCTACCACTTCCACCAAGGTACCATATATTTCCAAATCTCTGACTAATGGTAAAGTATTGAAGTGTAATACCTCAGTTCAGAACTTTTTTTTTAGGTACAGAAAAAGTGAATGAAAATGTTTTTTGGAGGTATCTAGCTTCTAGGAAAATGGATAGAGCCCAATTCTACAGTCCATGTGTTTGTCCAGACATTTATTTGTAATTAGCCTTCTTTGAAGTGTGTTTCTGGACCATTTGGCTTAAATTATTGAAAAAAGACTTTGCTAACTTGTTAAATTATGTGTACATGAATGTAGCCCCCTCCAGATATGTTGTCCCTTACTCTCCAGTCATGGAGGACCTTGGAAAGAGTAGATCATTTATGAATTACGAATCTCGGGGGTTTTTCAAAATGGGCATCATCGGAGCTTGGGTTCAACCTGTAGTACATATTTATTGCTATTAAAAATTTCAGTGTCTTATCTAATGTTTTGGGGCAGTGATTTCCCTGTGTGTATTGATGGCCTTATAACAGTCTTTTTTTCCGATATTTTTATTTTTTAAGGATGCTTTAAAAATGTCTCAAGAAAAAAACGGGGGAGTGGGGTTGTTTAGATAGGTGCCATGAAGTACTAAGCGTTTCCATTAGCGTGTGTGTGTTTTCTTTTTCTTGAGTTGACTTCTGGCTTCTAAGTCATTTAAAAAAATTGGAATTTCTTAGTAAGCCAGTTAACAAAGTTTTTTTGTGTGCGTGGTTAAAAAAAATCAAATGAAAATTACCTTCTTGACAAAATTTTAAGTGTATATTACAGTATTAACTGTAAGCACATTGATGTACAGAAGATCTCTAGAACTTTTTTTTTAATCTTACATGAAACTTCATACTCACTGAACAGCAGTTCTCCATTTCTCTGCCCCCCAGCCCCTGGCAACCACCATTCTACTTTCTGCTGCTGAGTTTGACTCCTTTAGATAACTTCATATAAGTGGAGTTATGCAGTATTTGTCCTTCTGTGACTGGCTGATTTCCCTTAGCATAATGCCTTTAAGGACCATCCATGTTGTAGCTTATGACAGGATTTCCCCTTTTTAAAGGCTGAATAATATTCTGTTGTATATGTATAACACGTGTTCTTTACCCATTCCTCTGTTGATAAGCTATAAAGTTTTACCATTTCTCTTAATTAGTAAGGTGGTACTGTATATAATGCTTACTGTTGTTTAAAAAGGATAAGTAATATAAATTCAAAATCAGATGCCAATAATTAATTGACTGCATACATCCCACCCTCTAGAAACCTGTGAAAGCCGCAACAGCTGTGTTTCCTGTGTTAATAATGCTAGCATTGCTATTGATAATGCTGCCTGCTTTTGGATGGAATGTAAAGAAGGTAAGAAATTTAGGATTGTTTTGAGAATGCAAAACTTTTGTTATAACATTTTAAAATATGCTACAGGATATTCTTGAACATTTGAAAATTATGTATAACATTTAGGATAGTGTGTATTATTCATTTTACAAATCAAATACTTTAAAGTGCCAGTTGCTTAACACTGTCCCCTAAAATCTCTTCTTGTCTTCCATTTCCCCCTCCTTTTAATTCCTTAGACTTGATAATCAAGGCTCAATAGTTGTAAAGGAAGAGATTTTAGACCTTTGTAAGATACACTAATATTAGCTGTGAAAGAAAGTTGTGAAATTTTCCCCTGAAAATTGCCTCCCAGAGAAATGTTTGAGGCATTTATCCTCAGTATGTCCTGCTAGATGTATTATAGAGACCTTATGAAACTCTTGGATATTTAGATGTGGGAGAAGAATGAGGTGGGAATAGAGTTGATTCCTGTGCTTTTGTTAAGTTTTAAAGTTACCTTTGATTTGAGGGATAAAGAGTTAGATGGAGATACTTTGAAATTCCAGTAAGGTTTTTGCTAGAACCATGGGATTACAGCATAAATTATTCTGCTTAATGTCAGATAGTTGAATTTTTTTCTTATAAGTAAAATAATTTATCATTTTTTATATAAAGAAGCCAAAGCTATATGTTACGCTTCTTTATTCTTCATTGAAAATTTTGAGTTCTGGAAATAATATCACTAGTAAAATTTAAAAATCTTTTAAAATTAAGGTATTGGCTTAATTTGGGTTAAATTAACTTTTATTGTATAAGAGTCACTTTTTTTAAGATCATAAAATGGATTTTAAAAGTATACTCCTCCCTCCGTGTACGGCAGAGTTGACAAGTTTTAGAGATTAAATATCCTACTGTAGTATATTTTGCGGAAAGCTCTTCATACTCTTGCTCTAAGTCTGTCCATCCAGGAAATCGATTTTAGCCCATTTTCCGTTTGCCTCAAGAATACTTGCCCTCAGCACTTGTGGCTACAAAGTTGACCCTGAAATAACTCACAGATTACAGTAGTAACTTTACCCCCAAAGTTTGCCATGAAATCTCTTGCTTTTATTTTTGCATCACTCTAGTATATCGATAGTATTTGGAAATGAATGACGTCATTCTATTTATAGCATTGTGTTTTTAGTAGTAGTATTTCCATTTATGAAATACAGTAATTCTCGATCGCTTAAAATGTCAAATCCTAGAAAACGTAGCATTTCTACACATGTTGACGTTGTTCTTGAATGGTTGTTAGCCAAAGATTCATTTGATGAATCCGATTTATGTGTACATTTCTGTGGCGTTAGAGACATGTTCTGTTTAGAAATAACTCCAAGAACAGTTTTTATGTACTATTTTCACATTGAAAACCAGTCACATTTGCTTGAGCCTCAAAGAGCATGTTTATGTAAAATTAAATTAATGCTGGCAGCAAGATGCACTTTTTTTCCTAAACTGGAAATGAGTTAGAAAATGTAGAAGACTGTTGATGATATCTGGAACAGAGGACTTACTGCTGCCATTAGGGCACCTCCCCTGTTTACTAAGCCTTTTTTGGGTCCTGACCACTTTCTTGAATCAGCCCTGTTAAGGACTCTAGCAGTCTTCCTTGTACAATTGTCATATCACAGTTCTGAGCTCTTGAGTGTTTCTGATTTATCTGTTTAGTATGTTCATGTGGATTTTAAAAGGATACTATTTGGAGAGGTCCTGTGTAATATTTCCAAAACAATGGGAAAAAGAGGATAACAGAGTGTTTTATTGGTCTGTGGACAGACTTTGGAGTGTTTATGCGTGAGTTTGATTTTTAGAAGCAATTACGGATCTTAGTAACAAAGTCAAAGATAATATAAGTGAGTAATGGTGCTGTTTATCTTTTTTAATTCTTCCATAACAGATAAAAACTACTGTTCACATAATGCAACAATTAGTGGTTGTCAAGTAGTGAACCGCACAGATTTCTGTTCTGGTAAGTATTCACATTAGCTGTTGGGGAAAGTGGCCACAGAGAGGGGAAGGGAGATCTTGCTTCTGGAAGCCTTATTTCAGTCTGGTTTGAGGCATTTCCATAATTTATAATCGTGTTATAAATTTGAATATGAATAGCATATTTATATCAATTGCTAAAAGGACAGTGTTTTGAAACTTGGTTTAGTGATCTGGCTATACTGTGGAATGCTATAAATATATATGCTTCCTTTACTCTTTTCCCTACTCCTCCAGAAACTCATGGTAGTTTAGATCCTTTCTTTCTTTGCATTTCATAGGCCTGGACAGCCTTTTCTGGCACTTTCTTGGTTACGGTACTGGTGATTGTCACAGTCTCCAGCATAATTTGTGCTGTGGTTAAATGAATCCTCTATGTATTCATCCATTTCCTGTACTTTAATTTGTGGAACTTGATTACTCTTTAACTTTTACTTTACTCTTTGCCCAGGAAATAAACTCCCCAGATGAAACAGCTGATTTTTTATTTTTTTTTTAAACAAGACTATCATTTAATAAGAAAGTCAAACTCCTAATTTCGTACATAGATAATAATTAAATACAGCAAAAGTTTTTTCTGGAGAGTGTCAGTAACCTTGAAAGACTACCTATAACTATCTAATTTTGGTGGGCATTGCTCCATCCCAACTTGAACTTTATATCTGAGAATTTCATTAGTATGAGATCAGTAACACCCCCTGCAGAGTGCATAACATGGTTTAGGTGGTAAATGAACAAACATTTGAATAGTTATTTTAATGTTTGCTAGAAAATACTAATAACTATATCATATCTGATTTCATAATAGTGCTTAGAAACAAAAATAAAACATTTTAAGAAACATTAAAGAAAAACTGAACAAGTAATTCTACATTGATGATGTATTAGAATTAGTTTTGACTGTGAAGGGATATAAAACTTCAGATTACAGTGGATTAAAAAATAGATTTACTTTGCTTTCATGTAAAGGAAGTCTGGAGGGCTATAGTAAGAGCTCTACCACCATTAGGAACCCAGGTGCCTAGGTTTTTACTGTTGTTCTTCAAAAATGCCTTTGACCTTACCCTCCAAGGTGAGTTCTCATATTTTAGCCATCTAATT